GAATGGAAGGGAAGTGTTCTAGTTCCCTCTCTTGGGGAAGGTGGGTGGGCTTCTATAGTCGGGCAGTGGTGTCTTCAATATGCTTGACCTAGACAGTTATGGTTATGATATGGTTAATAAGCATGAAGTGGGCCCCAGGGAGACATGGCTTGAATTCTGCTCCAACACTTGCCAGGTGTGTGCGCCTCGACTTGTTTCAGCCCCAGTTTCCCTGCCTGTGAAGTGGGAATGGTCTTGCCTCACAGGCTGTGATGGTCCTATGCACGGAGACCGGCACATTGTCAAGAAATGTTTGTGGCCAGGCCTGTGACTCTAGTTGGAGTGTTATAAGGACACTCACAGCCACTGGCCATCTCGTCATCCCTTTAAATCTCTTGCTGTCAGCAAATGGGGAGCAGTAGGGCAGGAAGGAAGCGAGGAGAGCGTGGAAGCCCTAGAGACCTGTCCCGGAAAGGCCCGGGCCGGCGAGGCTTGAGGAAGAGCAGCAGATGGTGAGAGAAGTCTGAGGAAGCAGGCCAGGAGCTGATGTAAACTGTGTGCAAGGTTGTTGCAGGATGCCCTGGCTCCTGATGGCCTCTTTTTGTGGGATAGGAAGACCCGGGGGTGGGGGGGTGGGGGGCAGGGAGGGCAGTGTAGAAAAGCACAGAAGACAGAGTCTTGAGGTGTTATATTGGGGATGAGAAAAAAATCACAGAATTTCCATATAGTGGGATGCTATTCTGAAAATCAGGTTTTGGAAGGATGCATGATTATAAGGAGGTGTGTGCCTAGTACATTGTGTTAAAAAGCACTGTGGATACTTTGATTTTATAAAATAAGTGTATGTGTATAGAAAAATATCCACACTCAAAATGTAGTTGTGCCTGAGCTGATGATTGTGTGTGTGTGTGTATTAAATATAAATATAAACAATATATATTCCCCCACCCCTAAGATAAATATACATTACCTTAGCGATTAAGCTATAAAGTGATTTTTTTATAAAGGCTTCCTAGGGAGTCAGGCTCCGGGCATGTGGGTGGGGTTGGGGAGATGGGAGAGGCAGGTGAAGGCCCTGACCCCTCCCAGACTCTGTCTCCCTGTCCTGCTGCCCGGGAGGCTCACGCCCACTCCCACTGTCTCCCCAGGAATGTGACAATCCCTGCTGCAATGCCTCTAACTGCACCCTGAGGGACGGGGCGGAGTGTGCCCACGGCTCCTGCTGTCACCGCTGTAAGGTGAGTGGCCCTTTCCCTGACCTAACAGAACCGCTGTGGGGTGATGGACAGGACACGGCCTCCTTCTGGGGGAAAGGAGGGCCTCAAAGTTTCAGAAACATGGAGCCCGGACCCCCTTGAACACATAATGAGCACATGAGAGTATACATGTAGGTGTTCGGGGGAAATGTGCATATGTATAATTTAGATGAATATGTGTAAATGGGTCTATATATTTGCTTATGTGAGTTTATAATATGTGTGTGCTGTGTGTGTGTGTGTGTGTGTATGTGTATATATTAGTGGGCCTGATTCTTTTGCCATTTATTCACCATAAGGCTTTGGATACATTGCTTAGCCTCTTCGGCCTCAGATTTCATAATCTGTAAAATAGGGATAATTATATTACATAAAACTGTCATGAAAACTAAATGAAATAATAGTTGTACTGGGCACCTAAGCGGGAGCTCCATAAAAGTAGCCATTATTACTGAAGTATTTAGTCAGCTGTCAGTTGTTGCATGAATATGATCTCTGGCCGACCTCCTCTGGAGAGGAAGTGAGTTACCTTTGGGAAAACGCCTGGAAAACTCTAAGTCACTGTTCACATTAGAGGGTGATGATGGTTTGAACTCCTGAGGGCCTGTGAAATAATGGGAATGGGAATTCCGTTCCACAGAGCGATGCTCACGGGCCTCTCTGGGAGGCTGGAGGGAGACTGATGCTTTCCCCTCTTTTCCTCGCCCAGCTGGTGGCCCCTGGCACGCTGTGCCGCCCACAGGCCCGGCAGTGCGACCTCCCAGAGTTCTGCACGGGCAAGTCTCCCCACTGTCCCACCAACTTCTACCAGATGGACGGCACCTCCTGTGAGGGCGGCCAGGCCTACTGCTACAACGGCATGTGCCTCACCTACCAGGCCCAGTGCGAGCAGCTGTGGGGTCCCGGTAAGTGGGCAGGGTCAGCCCTCGTCCCACCCACCTCTGCTGAGTGTGGACTCTTGGCTTCAACGCAGCATCTCCAGATGCTGCCCTCGGGTCAGGGTAGACTTTTAGGGAGAGGCAGTGGACTGTGTTCCTCCCAGTTCCTCAATGCTGTCAGTTCTCAGAGCGAGTAAATGGGTAAGAATCATCCAAAAGACAAATGGGCAGAGGATGGCGACAGAACAGGAAGATGCTTACCCGCACTCATATGAAGTGAAGGCAAGTGCAAACTACTGTAAGATGGGATTGTGCATGCATCAGATTGGCAGCGACGGAAGAGTTAATGTAATGTAGTAGTAATAATAGTGATACTCTAACGGCCACAAGAGCAATGATAATATAGATGTGGAGAGTGAGGGGGCCACAGATAGGTACAGCCCCTATGGAGAGCGATTTGGAGATGTGAACATTTTATTTTTATTTTTTTAAATATATTTTATTGATTTCTTACAGAGAGGAAGGGAGAGGGATAGAGAGTTAGAAACATCGATGAGAGAGAAACATCGATCAGCTGCCTCCTGCACACTCCCTACTGGGTATGTGCCTGCAACCAAGGTACATGCCCTTGACCGGAATCGAACCTGGGACCCTCGAGTCCGCAGGCCAACGCTCTATCCATTGAGCCAAACGGGTTAGGGCAGAGATGTAAACATTTTAAATGCACTAGTCATCGGGCCCATCCATTCTACTGCTTAGGCATGTATCTTCCACTGTACTTGAACATGTATGTAAAGATAAGTTACATGGATAATGGTTGCAGCATTCTTCTTTCTAGCAATAACAGCCTATACATCCTTCATAGGGGCCAATTAAATTAATTCTGGTACATCCATACAGTGGAACACGATGCAGCTGAATAAAAGCAGCAGCTCAGTGTCTACTGAATAAAATCTCCCACAGTGAATTGAGAGAACAGTGCAAGAGGCAGGACGGCGAATAGAATAGGCTGTCATTCTTGATGAGATAAATTGTCTCCAAAAGATACATAAGAATTGTATCTAGAACAGTGGTTCTCAACCTTCTGGCCCTTTAAATACAGTTCCTCATGTTGTGACCCAACCATAAAATTATTTTCATTGCTGCTTCATAACTGTAATGTTGCTACTGTTATGAATCGTAATGTAAATATCTGATATGCAGGATGGTCTTAGGTGACCCCTGTGAAAGGGTCATTCAACCGCCAAAGGGGTCGCGACCCACAGGTTCAGAACCGTTGATCTAGAAGTTAACATAGTTCTCTGTAGAAGATACATCATTAATTGTGATTACTTCTCCAGGGTGTAGGGAAGTAAGAATTGGAATGGCTAGTCCCAAGAAAATTCCCAAGATATACTTTATTTCTTTAAACATTTGCACGTGTATTACTTATTTTTAAAAATCCCTAAAAGGACAGGGTTTCTTTACTAGAGAGAAGAAGGTTTAACATACAAACCCACAGGTAGATACAAAACCTCGGTAAGGTATAATGAGCTGATATAAAAGCTTTTGCTATGAGTAGGAATGGAGTAACCTGATGGGAGTAAAGGAAGAAAATATTCTCTCCCCAAAAGCTTTCTTCACCTTGACCCTTTACCAAGGACCGGCTTTGCCCACTGGGGGCTTCTGGCTTCTCTAGTTGGCTAGGGTACTGACAGATGTTTCTTGCCCACTCAGGTGCCCAGCTTGCTCACGACCTCTGCTTCGAGAGGGTGAATGTGGCAGGGGACACCTATGGGAACTGTGGGAAGGACATGAATGGGAAACACAAGAAGTGCAGCATCAGGTAATGACCGCTGGGCAGACCCCGTGGGATGCGGGGTAACGAAGCAATTCCTTCTGTGTCCTCCTCACTCCTCCCTCCCACCGGCTCAGCAGCTTGGCAGCCCCAGAGCTGGGCGGCTGTTGGACAATGCCCCATTCAGCCTGAGGAAGTCCGGGGGAGGGTGCGATGGCAATGCTTCCTAGAAAGCCGATCAGACTTCCGTTCAGGACTTTCTTACAGTAGGGCAGGCCATCAGCCTTCTTGGGTTATTTCTGCAGGGTGCTGATTACACCCTCATCTGAATAACCCATCATTCATTCACTCAGTCACTCATTCATTCATGTATTCATTCATTTCAACCACCCATCCATCCGTTCACCTATCCACTCTCTGTGGAGGGTGTACCATGTGCCAGATACTCTGCTGAGTACATGGAACTTTTAATTAACAATGTAGCATGATAATGGACATGATCTTAGTGGGTGTAGATCGTTTCCCAATGGAAGTTATGCCTAAGTGGAGATCTGGACAAATGATCTCGTTGAGTAGGGTGGGGAATGGTGCTGGTCCCTGGGAAGAGTGTCCCAGGCAGAGAAGAGAAGAGAAAAATCAGTCGTCAGTAGAACTAATAATTTGATATAAAGTATAATGTTGGGGTGTAATGGAGAAGGGGCTTCTGAGAAATGAGACTGGATAGTTAGAGACCAGATCATAAATTCCTAAAGACATGGCTGAGAGAGCGTGGACTTCGGCTTGAGAGCAATTTAGAAATTAGATTCTAATGGGGCAAGACTGGAGGCAGAAAGATCCGTTTCCTGGTGTCCAGATGAGAGAGGACGATGATGTGGTGGCAGCATCTGGGTGCATGGGGTGCAAGGACCCTACGGGCAGGTTGCTCAGTTCCGGCCGTTGTCCTGGCAGGAAAGGGGACTTCCTAAGGCCAGCGCTCCCGCCTGGATCTGCTTGGGGATAAGGATCCTGTTTCTTTCCCTTTGTCTACATCCACGTGGGGTCTCTCCTGGTGGGTCCCTCGACCATGCCCGTTGCTCCTTTGCCCTTTCCCCAGGCTTGCAAGCCTGCTGTCCTGGTCAAGAAAAACTAAGCTCTTCTGTGCTCAGCTCTTTCCCAGCCTCTGATTCCACCTCCTTCTCTCCTGGGCCCAGGGATGCCAAGTGTGGGAAGATCCAGTGTCAGGCTTCTCAGTCCCGGCCCCTGGAGTACAACGCCGTGGCCATCGACACCACCATCACCATAAATGGGCGGGAAGTCCAGTGTCGGGGCATCCATGTCTACCAAAGTGCCGAGGAGGAGAATGACATGCTGGACCCAGGCCTGGTGCTGACGGGGACCAAGTGTGGCTACAACCATGTGAGTCTCTCCCTCCAGCTTCACTCAGGGTTTGGGCTGCAGGAGGGCAGTGACTGAGGAGCATGAACTCTGGAGGGAGGATGCCTGAGCTCAAATCCCAGCTGGCCCAACATGACTGCGCTTCCACAGGCTAGCTTCTGTCATCATCACCTTTGTCCTCATCATTAATGTCATATGAATTAAGACCAGGAGTCAGGGAAGCCTGGGGGAATAGTGGCACCATCGCAGAGTTAACTATGAGAACGAAATTATTTTTAAAAACAATAGAACGCATTTTTGTATAGCACCTGGCACAGAGTAGACTGCTGTCACCATCATCATTATTTTTAAATTTAATATTAAAATTAGTGCCTATTAGCATACAATTAAGAAACTAACATATACCAACATATAATAATATAGGATGTAATAACATATTTATTATATTATTACATATTTCTATTATTGTTTTAACAATATAATATTTGTTGTTTTCTCGCTAATCACAAAAGTAAAAGTGGAATTTAGTTAACTGCTATCCAGCCCTTGGCTTTTTTTGGTTTTTGAATTTTCACTGTAAAGCATAGCCTGAAGCGGGCCGCCTTTCTGAGCCCCATAGGTCGTAGGTGCAAAGCCCCAGTCTTCTGATTGTCGAGCAGTGTCTCTTTGCTTGTGCTGACGGTTCGGTCTCCTCCTCACTGCAGATTTGCTTCGAGGGGGAGTGCAGGAACACCTCCTTCTTTGAAACCGAAGGCTGCGGGAAGAAGTGCAATGGCCACGGGGTACGTGCGTCCAGGGTTCTGGGGCTCCTCCGCTAGTGTCCCGGCTGCAGGCCCTGTGGGAGGCGGGAGCTCTCCAGGGTGCTGACACCTCTGCCCGTCCCTCGCTCCAGGTCTGCAACAACAACCAGAACTGCCACTGCAACTCAGGCTGGGCCCCACCCCACTGCAACACGCCTGGCTTTGGAGGCAGCATCGACAGCGGGCCCATGCCCCCTGAGGGTGAGTGCCTGGCCTGCCCACCTTTGTGAGGAGATGTTGGCACCATGGGGGCAGGTGGCATGTTGCAAAGGGATGATGCATCAGCTTTATTATCCTGATTTTGTAGAGGAGGGAACAAGAAAAAGAGGGGCTGAGCCCAGTGTGGGGCTCAGCTCAGTTGCTCTTCTGCCCTTTCTATTGAGGAGAGTGAACCCTCTTAGAGAGAGAGGGAGATTAAGACAGACCATAGGTTACTGAATGATCTCACCCTTTTGGGGTGGGTGGCAACCAGTCCTGCTCAGCCACTTAAAAATAATCAGGAACCTGGGGCACATTCTAGTGCTTTAGATTCCCTTGGATGAACACAGCTTACAATGGAGAACCAGACACGCGAAAAACGTACAGTGTTTTCCTGGAAATCTCAGAGATTCCAGCCCTTTGGCTTCCAAGCTTTTTAAAATATATCTTTATGATAGTATTTAAATTAAGTAATACACGTTCACTGCGCATCAAATATCTGAGGAAGAACCAGGATCTGTTGTTTGGAGCCCACTGCGGTTGCCCAGGCAGTGTCTGCATCTCTCACCGGGCTCTGTTCTGGAAGGCGTAGGTCCCGTGCTGGCCGGCGTGTTCTCGGCCCTCTTCGTGCTGGCGGTGCTCGTGCTGATATACTACTGCTGCAAGCAGGACAGCAGGCTGGGCCAGCTCAAGGCCTTTGCCCTTCCCTCCAAGTTGAGGCAACAGTTCAGGTATGACGGGGTGCCACGAAGGCCTTGGGGTCCCTTGTGGATCGTCGAGCTTTCTGTGGTGGTGGGTCTAATTCAGGGAAGGTCAGTGCAAGGTGCACGCCACCCTCTCCTCCCGCCATGCTCCAAGACCACGGCTGACAGTGCTCGTCGACCTTACTCTACGTATTCTCTGCAGAGCCTGGTGATCACTCAGAATCCTTCTCAGCAGAATGCCCCCAATCAGTTAAAGTTGAAGGACTCTATTTTTCACCCTTTATCTAATTGACTTGTTCCCCATTTTAAAGAGCAGGAAACTGAGGCAACAGAGAAAGAATGACGAGCCCAGGACACTCACAGGGGTGGCTGGGCATCAACTCAAGACAAACACTAAGTTTTCTTTAAGCAGTTCATCCCTTGGGATGTTGAAGATGTCTAGTCTCTGAGTCCCGTATTATATTACACTTGTCCTGCAGGGGATTTTAAAGCCCTGGTCCTTCTGAATCGATGCCCTATGGGGGATTAGTTGATGGTTGATGACATCCTTGAGTCTCCTTGCAGGAGAAAGGTCTTAAATGGGTGAAGAGAAGGTGCTGAGGAAAACTCTGGTTTGAATAAGGCCAACTCTTTTTCCCTGGGAGATCTCCATTGGCCACACATCTTTCTACCTTGGGAGCTGGGGTTCAGGGGGACCAATCCCACTTCCTCCAGAGCAGACTTTGGGGAGGATTTAGCTGTTTACTGGCTGTGCTCGGGTGAGAGGGAACTCAGGCACTGACCCTCGATGATCACCCCCATTTCTTCTCCCCCCCAATCCTTGTTACCAGTTGTCCCTTCAGGGTGTCTCAGAACAGTGGAACTGGACATGCCAACCCAACATTCAAGTTGCAGACCCCTCAGGGCAAGCGAAAGGTAAGGACTTTGCACCTTGAACTTCACTACTTTTCCTTCACCATCGGGACCCTGCTGGGTTTTCCTAATAGCCTCTGTGGTTTGTGAAATTGATAATAAAAACCCCTAGTGACTTGAAAGGTTGCATCTGGCCTCTGGGATCCCAGGGATTTAAGAAGTCACCCAGTTCTCCCTCAGCCTCTGGTCATCTCACAAGGGCTCCCTGAGTTTTTAAGTGCATTAGGAGTTCCTTTGTCTTAGACCAGTGGTTCTCAACCTTCCTAATGCTGCGACCCTTTAATACAGTTTCTCATGTTGTGGTGACCCCCAACCATAAAATTATTTTCGTTGCTACTTCATAACTGTAATTTTGCTACTGTTATGAATCGTAATGTAAATATCTGACATGCAGGATGTATTTTCATTGTTACAAATTGAACATAATTAAAGCATAGTGATTAATCACAAAAACAATATGTAATTATATATGTGTTTTCCGATGGTCTTAGGCGACCCCTGTGAAAGGGTCATTTGACCCCCAAAGGGGTCGCGACCCACAGGTTGAGAACTGCTGTCTTAGACGTTCCTTGACTTATCCATACAGGTGATTAACACCCCTGAACCCCCACGGAAGCCTCCTGTGCCCCCTCCGGACTATCTGCAGGGCAGCTCCCCACCTGTGCCATTGCCAGCACACCTCCTCAGGACTCCTAGGAACCCCCCTGGGGCTGGACCCCAAGTAGAGCGGAAGGAGTCAGCCCGGAGGCCGCCCCCAAGCCGGCCAATGCCCCCCGCACCACATTGCATCCTCTCCCAGGTAAGTGGATGCTCAGCCAAAAGCTGGGGACATTGCTTTTAAGGCCTCTGGCCACGGAGGGTGACTGAGGCTGGGAAGGGGGAGCTCGCTAAGTCTGAGCTGACTGCCTTTTCTGTGTTCTGGTAACTACAGGGTCAGAGTGAAGAGTCTGGGGAAATATGCTCCCAGGCAGCCCCTAAACCACAGAGGAGTTCCTCTCTGGGTGGCCTATTTTATGACAAGTCACTACCCACCCACCTTCCACCCCAAAGTTACTTCTCCCAGTTCCCTGCCATCGTCTTCCCTTCTCTAGGTCTTTGCAAAGGCTGTTTCCTCTGCTGAATGCCCAGCTCCCCTTCATCCTCAGGTCTCCCCTCAGATGCCACCTCTCCCAAGAAGCCTCCTCTGACCCCAGAGCCTGAATGTGGCAGCCCCAGACTTCCCTCACCTTTGTAATTACCCCACCAAATTGTACCTATGGGTGCCGTCCGCTAGTCAGGAAGCCTGAGGAGGGGTGTGCCGTGACGCCTGGCTCATGGGGGCCGGTCGGGGGCAGGAGGCTGTGGGGGGGTGAGTGGGCCTGGGCTGTACTCCCACGGGTGCCCTTCGGAAGCCGAGCAGCCCCGCCCGCTGCCTGTTTACCCGGCGCCTGTGCTCTGCGGCTGCAACTGTACCTCCTGGCAGAAGTTCCCGCAGGCAGACCCAGATGTTTCCAGGGCGGTGGCCGGCCTTCCGAGCCAAACTGTATTTTGGGTGTGACCCCACCGTGGAGCGGGGGATTTGCTTATTTTCCTCCTGGGACTGTTTTTCTTGGGCACAGTCCAGAGGGCGTCACGGGGGCCCAGCCTGTCTCTGAACCTGGGACTGGTGTTGGCACCAGGTCTCAGGGGGCCCATGGGGCACAGGCAGTGTCACCGTTTGGCAGAGATCAGAGCACCGGTTTGGTTCTCTGATAAGCTGAAACGGGTGGGAGAAGCTGTGCGGACAGGGAGGGAGGGGAAAGCCTGGCAGAGAGGGGAGGGGAGGAGATGCGAGCACATGAGTCTGCTTGGGCAGCCATAGCAAACATCACAGGCCAGTGGCCTGAACAACAGAAATCTACTTTCTCACAGTCTAGAGCAGCCGTGGGCAAACTACGGCCCGCAGGCCGGATCCAGCCCGTTTGAAATGAATAAAACTAAAAAAAAAAAAAAAAAAGACCGTACCCTTTTATGTAATGATGTTTACTTTGAATTTATATTAGTTCACACAAACACTCCATCCATGCTTTTGTTCCGGCCCTCCGGTCCAGTTTAAGAACCCATTGTGGCCCTCGAGTCAAAAAGTTTGCCCACCCCTGGTCTAGAGGCTACAAGTCCATGATTAAGGTGTCAGTAGATTTGGTTTCATCTTCGGCCTCTCTCCTTGGCTTCTCCCATGTCCTCATACGTCCTTCCTTCATGCATGTGTGCCCCCGTATTCCTGTGTCCAGTGGCCTCTGCTGAGGACACCCGGGGGATTGAATCAGGGCCTCATTTTTAACTTAATCACCCCTTTAAAGGCCCTCTCTCCAAAGACAGTTCTATTCTGAGGTACTGGGGTTAGAGCTGCAACATACGGATTTGAAGGGGCACAGTTCAGCCTATAACACAGAGGGTGCAGGAGGGAAAGGGAGCAAGAAGGGAGTAAAGCAGGGCAAGCGACAGGGTGTGGAGGGAGTACAGAGGTGCGGGAGGAGAGACAGAGGGAGCAGTCTGATGAGATAGCTGTCCCTGTGACCCCTACACTGGAAGCTTGTTGAATGAAGATGGTGTCAGCCTCACCCCAAGGCACTGAGCAGGGGTGTGCACCAGGGGCAGGGTGTTAATTTTAGATAAGATGGTCTGGGACGGCCTTATAGAGAAGATGATAAAACACGAAGGTAACATAAAAGCAGAGAGGAAAGAATTCCTGTTCATGGTGCCCCCCATAGCCAACCAGTCATTTTTCCACTTTATTTTTATTTGCACACATGATACACATATATGCACTTGCGGAAAAAATTACATGTTCTCCTGGGTGAACGCCCTCCGCGCTCACACACCATCCCTAACCTCAGTTATCAGCGTGGTCTGTGTCCTTCCTGGCTCTCTTCCGTACAGTTGTATTTACCCCGGGGACGGGTGAGAGGCCGTGGTGGCAGATTTTACGTGAACTCGCCTCAGTAGCTTATAGGTGAGCTCACAGTGACTCTTGGTCATCTGTCCACATTAGCACATGTCAGCCTACTTCATTCCTTTTAAATGCTGCATCCTGTGTCACTGTAAATGTAGTCATTTGTCTGCCGATGGAAATTGTGGTCATTTATAGTTTCTTTTTCTGTCACGTATGTGCTGCAAGGACCGTCCTCGTCATCTCACTTTTGTGCACCTGTGCAGGTGGTTCTCTGACCTGAGTCACACGAAGTGGAAGGGCTCCGTCGGAGAATGGTTCTTTCTCATGTTCATAGGTGCCGCCGACTTGTTCTCCAGGCTTTTTCCTGAGCGTTAACACACAGCTGCGGGCAGCTTCTCACATGGCTCCGCATAGGAGAGCATATCCCCTTACACCTGATTCTGCTCCGTATAATGGGAAGGTTTTCTTTTGAACAGGCCCCTCGGGCTGTGAGTGAGGCTTGTGGCTTTCTCCCCAGGATATCTCCAGGCCTCGGCCACCTCAGAAGGCGCTCCCGGCAAACCCTGTGCCAGGCCGCAAGAACGTCTCCAGGCCCGGCGGTGCCGCCATCCTGCCACCCACCGCCGCGGGCCGCCCTCAGCAGTCCTGGCCTCTGTTAACCCCTGCCCCAAAGGTGAGTCTGCAGAAGCCCTCAAGGTCAAAGCTGAAGCCAGAGGGTCCCGGGGGCAAGAGTGTGATTGAGAAAACACTGAGTTCACGCTTCCTGCTGGAGGGCTGAGCTTCCGAACCAAGGCCAAGGACTAAAGCTTAGTGTTTCTCGGTGCCTGTGTGACTGTCCCTTAAATGGAGGACAGGGGTCTTTTTGTTTCGTGTGGAAAGTGATGCTTAGGAGCCTGAGCTCTTGATGGCTCCACACCTGGATCTGCACCCTACTGGCTGGGTGGCCCTGAGCAAGTCACCCTCCTGAGCCTGTTTCCTTTCCCCGGGCTGCCATGGAGGCCAAGGCAGTTCACGGATGCAGACTGCCGGCCTCTGGTAGCATGTGCACAGTGACTCCTCTTCCCGCTTCCCTGGGCTGACCTGCTCTCCGGCTGCCAGGCTAGGAGCACAGGGGAGGGGAGGAAGCTGGCTGACTCCCTGTGTTCCCACGGGGCCCCGGGAAATCTGTGGACTGAGCTGCAGCTTTGTGGGGAGGAAGGGAGATGGCTTGTCAGCTCGGGGTGGGGCGCCAGCATGCAGAGTTGATGTCACGGGAAACCATTCCTCTCACTGACCGGCTGTCCGCGTCCGACCTGTCCACACCCCAGAGGACACCACCGATCGCAGGTAGCTGACGCTTCTCTCCCTCCCCTCCCTCTCTTCCCACAGTTTCCTGACTACACAGCGCAGAGGGCTGGGTGGATGACTAACTCAAGAATCTAGGCCTGTCTAGGGGCTGCTTCCTTTCCCGGGACTCAGCACCACAGTCTGGAAGCCGTCTGGCCGCCTCTGAGCCCTTCCTCCCGGACCACCGCATCTCCGAAAATCTCCTTGACTCATTGCCTCCCAGCCTCCTCTCAGGCCCAGAGTCCCCACCATCCAACGGCATCCCAGAGTTGTTTTGTGCAATATACAGCCCGGGGGGAGAGGATGAATGGCGGCTTCTCCAAGCTCCCTTCAACTGGCCCCTCACCGCAGAGATGCCCAGGCCCGGGCTGTCTGCGCTGAGGAGCCCGGCTGGGAAAAGTCCCCTCAGCCCTTCAGGTCAGGACTTAGCGTGGAGGAGCCCATGGTGGAAGGTGTGCATGGGAGCTTGCCAGTGCTTGTCTTCCTGAAGGTCCCCGGCTGGACGGAGGCCGGGCACTTCCCCATCCTTCGTAGCTCTGAGACAGAGGGTCAAACCAGCCGCTGCTGTGTCCCTGCCCAGGCTTGGTGGGTGTCACAGCTTCTGGCTCTGCGTCCACACGGGAACAAGTCTAGTTCCCTCCTCTGCCCTCCCCCATCCCCCATCCCCTTATTTCTCGGGTCTCTCTGACTCAGACAGGTACTAGTTGTAGGCAGTGTCGACAGCAGGGGGAGCACCAGGCCTCCCCTGAGCCGTAATGCCAAAGGTTTAGACTCCTGACTCACGATCATTCTTGATTGCCATTGTCTTCTGCACTTTCTAAGTGCCCTACGCTTTTCCCCGCTTGGACCCGCCCCGTGTGAGGTGCTGCGGGGAGTGGACCCACCGCAGTGCTGACTTCCTGGGGACCTGGTGCTAGTGTCCTGCCCGAGGGTGCGTGCCATCGGTTCTCACGGGTGTTGACCAAAGTGGACTCGGGCCCTGGCTGTGGGGGCGTGGCTTCATTTTCCATTGTGTTTTATAACCTCAGCAAGGTGTCTCCCCCTTATTCTCTGACCTAAGCCTAAGCAAGGTCCCTAGGGGCAGGGACGGCAGCGGGTGCAGTGACCTAGGGAGCAGACGTCCTAGGAACCCCAGTCTATGCCTAGGTCTGGTCACGGCCCTCGACAGAGCAGCCCTGTCTCTGGAGGTCCCTAAGAAGCCGCAATCGGCCATCTCGAAGGAAGAGAGTCTGAGCTGGGGCCAGCCAGGCTGTTTAGGCTCTACTTCCTTGCGTTCTCTCTGGTCACTGCCTTACCTGCCATCACAGAGAGAACTCGGAGCAGCCTCAGACGCCGCTCAGAGAGTCCTGCCCTCCCCGGAGCAGGAGGGAGGGCTGTGTGGTGCTCTGCACGGTCAGACCACTTGTCCCCGGAATGTTCTCTGGGACTGCCACCCCCGGGAAGGTGCTCTTGGAAACCTCAGTGCACGGAAAAGACTTGAGCTCTCACCCCCGACCCCTTACAGTTCTCTGCACACAACAGGTGCTCAATAGATTGGGTTCGTAGGCAAGTGGGAGATTTGGGACCTGCACCTGGGGACACACATCGGTGGGTTTAGAAAGGTCTCAGGGAAATGGGGTCTCTTCCCTCAGGTAGTCATGATGTTCACGCCCCGTCTCCCTGACATGGGCCCTGGTGGCCCCCCATCGCCAATTTCTGCCTTCCTTGCTGTTGATTAAGTCAGGGGGCAGCCTGTCATTGAAGTGTGGTACTGCAAATGTCCAGACCTCAATGCTGGGTCCCAGAAATGTAAAGAACAACCCCCTAAAAAAATCACCCTGAAGCCACCCGTGGCTCACAGGTTCTCCTGTGGCGTGTCCAGCTTTTCTCCCTCGCGTCAGGGGCAGATGGCCCTGCAGAGGAAATGCCCCGGCCTGTGGCTGCTTGAGCCTTTTGAACCCGAAGTCCACACTCCCTGGAACCAGAACCCAAAGAGATCTGGGTTGTTGCTTTCTTGTTTTTGTTTTGTTTTGTTTTTGTTTTCCATGATTACCACCTCCATCCCATAAAATTGTACTGTGAACTGGAAGATGGTAGAATTTTTTAAATTTGATAGAGACTCTTGGCAGCCGGTTCTCTTGGCTGTTTCACTCCGAGCTCTGTGTATGGGGCCAGGTGTCGCCACTCTGGCAGGCCACGGTGGCTGCCCAGGAGCAGAACCGGCCATGCCGTGCCCCTTTCCCGCCTGTGCTCATGTGCTGCAAAGATAAATCCGGACTCAAGGAAGGAGGGGCTGTATTTGAAAGGATCACTGCAAGACGGGGAAAGGGAATATTTCAGCTGGGAGAATGCTCAGGCAAGCTGCTGCCAGGGCTGCCCGCCTCCCAGAGCTCCAGAAGAAAGAGGCCTTTGCTTTTGCAGGGAGTGAACTTGGCGAGAAAGAGGTGTGTTCAGGGACCATCTTGTGCTCGGCCTTTTGGGGGAGGGGCTGAATGTTGGGCCCAGGGTGGGTCCAGCTTCAGAGTCCCATGGGGAGGAGAGGAGCGTAGCTAAGGTTTCATGGACTGAGTTAACCAGCGCTTTGTTCAGATGGAGCTGTGTATAAATCTTTTTTAAAGCTAATTCAGCCTTCTGCCAGTTTTACAACCTTGGAAATGTTTTCCTTACGAGCCTGGGAGCCATCTCTGAAATGTAAACCTCAGGGGACCTCAGGGAGACAGCGCCTGGCTCCCAGCCTGTCTGGGTGCGAGCGGCAGGCCAGGCGCTGGGCTCCAGGTGGGAGCTACCTGCGGCCTGGGTTCTCTTTGGCCTTGTTTACTTCTCCCTATAAAAGAAAAGCCCTTTCCGCCGCAGCTCTGAGACGCTCACAGGTCTCTCGGGATTGCAGTAGCCCCTGGCCCCACCGCCCTTGCTGCCTCTTGCAATAATCCTTTCGAATACAGCCTCCCCTTACCCAGGTCCGAATTCGTGTTTGGCAGAGGGGATGGCAGACCTGCATATTTAAATTGGGGACGAGTTCTGCAGTCAGTGACTGTGTGGACTGCGTGTACAATAGCTCTGCTGGACACCCCAGGAAGCCACGGGTATGCCGACTAGAAAGGTGCTAAGCGGGGTTCTGCAGAATCTAAGCCAGGCGCCCCCAAAGCTCCCCTTCCCCGCATCCTCTCACACCATCCACTGTGTGTGCGTGTGTGAGTCTGCGATCCAGGGCAATGTGAATTTTCTTTTATATGGGAGATTGTTCATAGGAAACAGATCATCTTCTCTCTCGTCCACCTAGTAATTGTTTACAGTATTTGTACATCTATGCAAAATACTTGAATGGGCCATGGTGCCTTTTCCCCTTGTTTGTATTTAATTAAACTAAATTGTCATTTGAAATGTCTGGTTTGGCTATTCCTTGTTTGTTTGTTTGTTTGTTTGAATGTCCTGCTGCTCAGCCTGGAGAGGATCTGTTGCCAGAGGACCCCTCAGGGGAGTGCCCACAGAGACCACAGCCCGCAGCCTTAATGGGAGAAGCTGAGCCATACACAAGCCTTGGGCAGCCCCAGACCAGTCGAAGGGGCTGTTTGTCTGCACTTGGACATAGGCTGGTCTAGTTTAATTAGGTTCTAGGTTAGGAAAGGCATGAATGACCTGGGGTTCCCTGATATGAGTTTAGGAGGCAGCTGAGACCCTCTGTTCTCATCTTAATTGCTAGGATCCTATACTTCAAAGAGAGAGGACTTGCTCTGGTCTATTGGGCTGGGTGGGCACGTGGGGCTAGTGGGGGGTGTGTGCTTTCAGACTCCAGAGCTCATCCATTAATGCTTCCCAATCCATGAAGGGGTCCCACCCTCATTCCCTCACTGGACCCACTTTGAGGCTCTCTCAGACAGACAGGATCCGCACCACCGTGATAGCAGGAAGCATTTACTGAGTACTTGCCCAGCTGGGCTCCGAGTGCTACTTCACCTCATTTATTCTTCACAGCAGCCCTGGGAGGGTCCTTGGTTCTGATCCTACTTTTCTAGTGATGAGTTTGCCTAAGGACATCAAAGGGGCCAAACACAAGTGCCCTGCCTACTAAAGTGCCTGCTCATGAAATTAGCCACCACCCCACAGCCCTGCCTGCCTAACACCATCATCGATGCCAACCACTGTTCAGACACGGAGCCTGGCTGTCCAGACCTGGGTTCAGATTCTGCCCGTGCCGCTTGCTAGATGTGTGAGAGGGGGCACGTTCCAGAGTCCCGAGTGAGTCTCCTTTTAATGCAAGTGGGAATAACTCCCGCCTCGGGAATGCCGTGCTCATTAGCAAAGTGCCCTGCGGGGACCCGCCCAGCTGGGACTGGCCCAGACTAAGTGCTCAGAGATGACGTCCGTGTCAGAGCTGAACATGGGGTTCGATTAGCACTTACTCTGGGTTGAGATCTGGTCCCCAAGAGAGTTTGGGCCAAGAAGGACTATTTGGAATGGTACTGTTCCTTCATTCAATACAGGTTTTTATGAGTCCCAGCTATGTGCTTGGGACATCCAACTGGGCCGTGGTGGTCGCTCTGTACTCTGAGGCGGTGACAGCATAGATCACAGAAGAAATGAGCAGAGTAATATCAGACTGTGCCTGGGGGTTAAGACTGCGGGCTTGGAGCCAGATATCAACGTGGACTCTTCCTGGCTGTGTGGCCTTGGGCGATTTCTTCACCTCTGACTGAGACCCTTTCCTCATCTATAAGATGAGGATAAAAATATATCTGCCTTGAGGATTTTGGAGGACATAGAGAATTTACGTGAAGTTCTTAGCATGCTGTAAGGGCTCGGGTGTCTTCTACTGACTCTCTTCCCTAATCAGCCATGCGCTGTAGGGACTTCCTTGGAAGCCACAACCCTCCAGAGATCGGGGACCGGCTTCCCGGCACTAGAGGCACCAGGGTAATTAATTGCTCCGTGTCCAAGGAAGCCTAAGACGCAAGTCTAAAGTAAACACACCCGAAGGTCTTTATTCTTGACCCTGCAGACCACACTCTCAGGGCCCTCAGATTCCTGCTCTTCCCAAGATCCAACATGGTGCATTGATTTTAGTTACAGGCAGAAATCCACATTCCTGAACAACTGGGGATTTGAGGCTGGAGGTGCAGGAAGCCAGCCTGTTGGTCAGCTGCACCTTGGGAGCTCCAAGGCCAGCAAGAGACTGGGGTTGGGGGGTGGTATGTAAACACAGGGCACAGCAGGGAGCTCTCAGGGGAGGTGCTGCCCCAGCTCAGGGACTGAGGGTCAACTCCTCCCTCTTTACAGATACTTGGCTGCATTCAGTAGTCCTTGTACCAACTCCCACTCCCCTTGCAGCTGGAAAGCAGACTTGCAGGGAAGGATATCAAGTATC